CCCACGAATACATCCGCCAGTACGGTTCTAGGGGCTATCTGCAGGTGGAATTAGCGATACGCAGGACGTTTGTAAACCTGGATGCGGATATTTTCGGCCGGTTACATGGAACATTTGTGCGGCCTCATCTGGAGTACGCGGTGCGACCTTTGCGGTCATGGTTTTGGAAAGACATAGCTATTCTTGAATATGTTCAGCGACGTCCGGCAAAGTTTTTTCCTCAACTCTAGCATTTAACTTACGAGTATCGCCTGACCGCCTTGACCCCCTAACCCCTTCAATATAGACAGGAGAAAGATGAACTTCTAGTGAAATCTCAGTTTCTATGGGGGACCTGTTCTTGATGTGGACTGGAAAGATCTTTTTGAAATGGCACCGATGACAATGTTCAGACGACATAGTTGCCAACTTAGAAGGGTGCTGTCACACCAATCAGCGTTCACTTCCTCCCAGGAATTCATTCGTCAGTTGAATCCGTTGACAATGTATGTCGTGTAGCCCCCAGCAGCGAGTGTGTCCAAAGGTCGTCTGGAAACATCTGTTAAAGGTTGGCTAGAACTTTTAACACCCGTTTGATAAGACGCTGTTATGACCACGAATATGCTACTAGATTGATCTCAGTAATGCATTTTGTTCACACTATGTCATACTGTTGGACATTCCGCTGAACACCACCGAACATACCTAATGGAAAACCTGTCCTTAAGAGTAACTAACCTGACGTAGATGATAAATTGTCTGTGCTTTGTGCCCTTCCGAGAGCCGGAGTCGCTTAAACTTCTGCATCACTGAGAAAACTCTCTTGCCCAACGTGCGTCTAAACTTCGCAGCCTCTGGTTGACTGTGTCAGTCTATTCGGATCGAAGTGCAGACGATTTCACTCCACTGATTACCTTAGGCGGGTGGTCTTTTCGCCTATAAACGCATTAGCTTCCTTTTCACCTCCAGGTAGTCGAGGTGAAGGGGATCTTGTGAAAAATCGGACACAAATTCTAACCTGCAACTAATGGAAGGCGACGATTCTGCTATGGGGTAAATGTTAACCTGACCTATGAAATCTTCACCCTTCCTTTCCTTCTCGCCCTCCTCCATATAGACGGCGTTTCTTAAGTACGCTTCTACACCTGACATCGTTTGCACCCTTCGTAGGCCTTAACATTTTTACCTTAGTGCAAGCTCGCGCGTGTGCATCGCAAATAACACATGGGATGCGAATACGCGAATGACAACGGAGGAAAGAAACATTGCATCCCTCCTTCTTGAAGGGGGCTAATTCCCTTTACAAGTCCTTTACAGGTCTGCATGTCGCATGGACTTCCGTCTCCACAGTATATTGCAGCCGGGCAGACAATCGATAAAGGCTTCACGATCCGACATAAAGTCGGCCACAGTTCAGTCTTCGACTTACAATGTAGAGGTATACCATCTATAGTTAAGTTGATGACTATACGATCATTCTTTATATCTACGTCATCCCTGCCTATCAGATGTCCGATTCCCTTCTGCCGTCCGACGTAAATACACTATCCGAGGGGGCTGCCCGCAAGGCCTACGATGCTCCAGAAGCATCCAATGATCCACAGAAAACTGTCACAGCTGGTCTAGTACTTTTAAAAGACCAGGAAGACAGTGCGCAATATTGGACTTCACAGTCCATTCATGCAAATTACTTAGTGTATCTACGTGGGTCGAAAATTGCCATCAATGCTGATATAGGTACAGGCAAGGCTTTCCGTGCTGGAGTCACCACTTATAAACGATACCGACGGATTCTTACACGGATTTGCCATTTGTCTGTTAGGTGAGCATTGATTCTAGCGGGAATTGATGTATGATCCATCCATTCTAGGATGTTTATTCGGGGAACGCGGAAGTCTATCCCCTTGTATATCTTTTCTCACATTATTCCGATATCTAATTTCGAACGTCGTTTGTACGTTCTCATTTGTAACTGGACAATTTGAACACAGAAAGTAATTGTAAAATATTATTAAAAATTAACCACAAAACAGAATATAGCAAGGTTGAGCACATGCTGTACGCCATAGCCACGCAATAATGACGTTGGTACGCGCGCGAAGTCAGAGTGCGACCAAAGAATGGCAACCAATGATTGAAGGCATAACTTTATCCCATGTCCCGTTCGTCTTTCCTATCGCGAACAATACATCTAACCGATGTGTCACTTTACTAGGTATATAGCACTTATCCCTTGCCCCTTGTCATTTACAATTAGAGGTGCAGATGACGTTACTCCTAGGACGTTATTAACTAGAACAGGTAATATTTCGTCTCATTGTTAGTGTCGTCTTACGTAGAAACCCGGTCCGAACTTATCAGTGACCGGTTACCGATATCCTGCTCTCACTAGTGCATTCGTCTGTACTTATAGCAGAAGCCCAAGCCATGAGTGAGACCCTGGCTACCGCGACCTTCAGACCCAGATCCAAATAGGAAATGATGAAGTAGGACGACAGTGGGGAGGATTTTATATTCTGTACAGAACAACTAGAGGAAGTTGACAGTCGGGTAAGGGCAGGTCCACCGCCGCGAGAGCAGCGCCCGAAGTGTGAATCAGGGAATGCGTCAAAGAGTCTTAAGCCGGTCACGTCTGACTCACTCTTGGATCTGACTGGCCAGTTGGAAAGGTGAGTGGGCTAACGCTAGACAACACTGGTGTGCAGCGTTACGACAGGCGCTAGAATTTGGGCAACAGTATTCGACAATTCGACTGTCGATGTCTACGATGTGCTCCGCAGCAGGCTTAGAGCAAGGACGGTGACTTGCACAGGGCTTATAGTGGGGGCAGACTTGCACAGCATCTACCGCACTCCATCCTCCTCCCCCACCGATGGCAAGGCCTAGTCAAGAAGACCAGAGGCGGGAGGACGCGGGTGGACGGCACTGCCGAAGCCGCACCTAGGCATGCCGTCACACCCGGCTCGGATCGCACTGAGTGGGAGTGCCATAAAGGCCACATTAAGAATCAGCCCTTGCAGCCTGCCTCTTAGACCACCAGTCGGTTACTCTACACAAACACACAACACTGTGCTGACAGCGAGGTCCAAGTTATCCCGTCAGTTGGCAACCTTCTAAGCTACGGCTTTTAGTGCACCGTGATAGCTTCAAGCGCTTCAAGTTGTTTATAGTGAGAAAAATGCGCTGAAACGTCGACCTCGATCTCCCTTTCCATTCCCGTGCCCCAGTCACTGTCCGAGTCGGCCAGTTGACTGGAACGGGGAACGGGCGCGGCGGTTGACATAGTCTAGTGACCTTGTCTGCGCGCGTCACATGCACGACCTGGCCGCCCAAGCACAAGCACCAGGATTTCATACAACGGGGGTTGAGCGGCGTACATCCCATATGCGTGAGACTGCCGTATTTCACGATAAGAAGGAGCCATTGCAGCCTGGCTTTCAGCCCACCAGCCCGCCACGCACACAACTGGGCAGACTGCATGTAATGAGATAGGGAGTCAGTCATCAGCCTGCCAAGCCACAGCGTTTGACGCACCGTGATAGTCTCAGACTCGATTCACACATGCAGCAGAGGAGCCGCACGGAGATGGAGTCAAGACGCACACTTTCCACTCGCGTGGGAGGTGCCACTTGGGTACTTGCAGTGTATGATGGTGGGGGAATGATGCGATGATGTGGTGTATCCGGCGGTAGTCTACCAAAGGTTTTCGTGAATGCGGATGTAGCGTTATCGCAGCAGCTGAAGCCATGTCCTGGTACTACTCACTACGATCTTCTGGCCCGGTCCCTGATAGGGAGGGAGAAGTTGGACGCCAATTTGGAAGAGGTTTTATTTTGTACATAATAATAGAGGAATGTTTGCAGCCGGACGAGGGTGCGTCCAGCGCCGCGGAAGCAGCGTCCGCCAAAGCGATGCACCGTGCGTCACTGTAAGTCACTGTCGCAAATGTGTCCAGGCAAGTTGCCTACGCCACTGGTCTCTTGTATCTGCCTGTATATTTAATCTGCGAAAAGAGTTACGCTGATTGGCTCTGGGTCCACGCGAGAGTAGTGACAAGCCTCGCATAATGCAGGCAGAAAGTTGACCAGAAGTGTAGTGCAGACAGAAACGCAGCAAGACAAATCAAAGGCAGTCAGGTATGCGTGCCGAAGCAGGATGCCACTGGTGCGTACGTGCAGGCATTAGCGAGAGGCGTGAAGTTGACTTGACCATCTGGTATAACGCCACCACAGCCGAACAGACCCATACGGTGAATAAATGTGTGAGTGCAATGTGGAGAGCGGAGGCGCATGCAGCGAGTATAGGTTGATTCTTCAGGCACTGGTCTGCCAGTCTCTGTGTGATGGATTCGCAAGTGACCGACCAGGCCGATGCATGGGGTAAATGTACGTCGACAGTATGTACAGGAGAAGTCGATGGTGTCAGCATCAACTTTGGTGATGATGGAGCTGGTGGTGGTGGGCGCACTGGACGACGGTGTATGTGTTGGACTGAGCATGTTGGGTGTGCAAGATGTTAGTTGACGGCGTGGGAGGTGAGGACGAGGTGGACGGAGAGACGACGGTTGGTGCAGTCTGGGGGCTACAGTTGGTCCGGATGTGTCTAACAAGTCTAACTGGCTCCCGGAACGTCCTTTGACATCGCAGGCACGTTGGAGGCGGTTGGGCGTTGATGATGAGAAACGGCGGCGCCGGTGGTGCGGCTAGCTTCGTAGATCGCAGCGCATGTCTTCAATATTCTCTTCCAGGACCGTCGATCTCGGACGAGGTCTTCGCAGTTGGCCGGATTGATATGCGGACGCTTCAGAGAAGTCTTCAAAGTTTCCGTGTATCGACGAATTTGGCCCCCATGGCGGCGAGAACCCGTGGCGACGTCTTCGTAAAGGAGTCGTCTGGGTAGCCTCTCGTCGTCCAACTGTACGAGGTGGCCGCTCCAACATAGTTGTAGTTGCTGATGTAGATAATAATCAATAATTATTATTTTTATTAAAGACCCGTCGGGGTCCCATCAAAGCTGAGGAGTCATGTCCACTCCAGTACGTCCGTGTCGGGGACTCGGTCCTGCCACCTCAGCTTCAGTATTCGGCGAAACAACTGAGGTATAAGTGGTTGAGTCTGCGTGCCTGCTTCTTTTAAACCGTCCAGGTCTCTGCTCCATACAACAACGTCGGTAGGTTGACGACCTTGTACATCTTCAGTCTTGGTGTTGAAGTAGAAACCGTTGTGATTCCAGACTATGCTTTGAAGGCGGCCGAAGGTATGACTTGCCCTCGAAGTCCGGCGAGCTACCTCGTCATCGATTTTGGTGCTGCCGGTGAGGGTACTGCTCAGATACGTTAAGGTGTCCACCACTTGCAGTTGGGTTCCGTCCACGCTGATTTGGTATGACTTGAAGGCAGCGTCGGGTGGCGGTTGATGTATAACCGCCGTTTTCTCCGTGTTGATAACCAGGCCGAAGTTGTCGCAGGCGGCGGAGAAGAGATCCGTGCTCCTTTGCATGTCCTCCTCCGAGGTGCTGTTGAGGACGCTGTCATCGGCGAACAGAAGTTCATAAAGTGCATTTGCCCGTGGTTAAGGAGGTGGCCGTCCGTCCAATAGGCGATGTGGATCCCAGGACGTTCGCCACGGTAGGCGTCCATCAGCATGGCAGAGATCATGAGACTGAGGAGGGCGAGCGCGAGGGCGCAGCTCTACTTCACTCCGTTGGTCACTGCGAATGCCTCTGAGGCGGCTCCATTGTCCGTGACTCGTGCCATCATGCAATTGTGGAGCTGACGCACCATCTGAGTGAATCGCTTGGGACAGCTGAATTTCTGCATGATTATTCACAGTCCGCCGCAATTCGCCGTGTCGAAGGCCTTCGTCAGATCCACGAAGGTAGAGTTCAGGTGGGTTCGCATATCCTGGCACATCTCCTGAAGTTGGCGGGCGGCGAAGATCATATACATGGCCCCGCTATGACGGCGGAAGCCGCACTGGTTTTTCGTTGGGAGACTCTGTTCCATATGGTTGTTCAGGCGGCTGGGAAGGATGCGAGCAAAGATTTTCTCGGCGATGCTCAGCAAGGAGAGGCTTCGGTGGTTGTCGGAGATTTGGTAGTTTCCTTTCCGCTTATAGAGATGGGCTATTGCGACGTCTTTGAAATCCTGTGGGACTTCTCCTTGACGCCACATCTTCTGGAAGAGCGCAGTCCAAGTTGGTCTCCACTTGCAGCAAGCGGGCGATGGCGGCGTCGGAGATGGTGGAAGGACGCTTGAGGACGCCTCGGAAATGCTCGGCCTATCGCGGTAAAATTTGTGTCTTCTCAGTGAGGAGCGTACTACAGTCGACGATGAGGAGAGGAGTAGTGCTTTTGGTCGACGAACCGTAGACAGCTTTTATCGCGAAGAAGACGTTCTTGCATTCGTGGCGGTCCGCGTAGTCTTGGATCTCCTCAGCCATGTGGTCGTCCAGGCGTCCTGCATCTCTCGCAGTCGCTATTGCAGGAGGCGGCGATTGCGGTAGAAAGCAGCTCTGTTGTCAGTGATCGCATCTTCGTCTTCTGAACTGCTACCTAGAACTCGCCTTGGATTGGTGTGGCTTCCTCACTTGTAGCGATGTAACCATTCTTCGTGATGTCATGTCCAATGTTTCCAAGGACATTCTAGAGTTTGTGCCGCGTA